AAAAAAAAAAACTCTTCAAGCGCGGAAGTTATGGTGGAAAGAGTGCTCTCCGCCAGGTCAGCATTGCACATTTTTCAGCATCATTAACACCAGTCACTCGCCATTTTCAGTACGCATGACCACCTCCACGACCGTTTTCAAGCCAAACTCTCTGAATCTGGAAGCAGGCGTGGGAAGGCGTTCTGCTCTTCGTGTGGTGCATCGCATCTGGGGCGGTCCGAACTGGTGGTTGTTTATTCGGACGTCAGAGCGCTTCAAAGTCGACAAGAGCACCATCAGCGCCGCCATGCGTTGTGGCTGCTCTCATGAATCATTCGTTTGCAGAGGTAGTTTATTTGTTTATAGGGGTTATTTCCCGTAAAAAGTTGCAATTATTTCATCTTGGAGGAAGTGCTATACTTTGAAGTGAGCAAAGTACGTATTTCCACCCTGAGGAAGTAAATACTCGGTAGTCATAGTGCTAGGAGCCACCAATTTATTCCTGTCTAAGGTACTCCTATCCATGAATGTACCACAAAAATGGATCCGAATACCTTTAGTTTGGAGAAGTGCCCAGCTCCAGTAGTGGAAACGATTGTTTTTTTTTTTCACCGTCCCTCTTCGCAAGGTGCTGAAACCACACCGGGCATTTAGACTACTACAATTGCTCTTTTGAAGATCCAGATGATGATGATGCAATGTCCACTGTGCTTGCGACGATGTTATCGCGCCTGCACGCTAAGGATCCAATGTCCGTGGACGTGTTTCTGAACTAGCCGAACGAGAACACAACTGCAGAAGATCCCACAGATGAAGACTTCTGTGGTGTTGACGACCAAGAATTGGCTGCAGATGGCTCTGAGACCGGATCAGAAAACCTGGGCGAGGACAGTATGGAGCATAGTATTGAGGAAGACCTTGAGCTAGAAGCAATTTAAGAGCATCTCATGTGGATTGGTAAGCTTCTCGTTCGAGCAGGTGCGACTGGAGTATCGAATAAATCGGTGAGTGGATTACAAGAAACGCAGCGAACGCTTCGTGAAGAACTTGGAAGGGAGCAAGGCCACAAGCACCAAAAGTCTTTGCTATATTCCTTCTGATATCATGAATGTTCCCATATTTAAGATCCCCAGAATAAGAATATTTGCCTTCAAATTTATTCCATTTACAATTGAGGGGTGAGAGGGAACAGTATCTTGGGTTTGTAAGCAACTGGTCAACGGGAACCGCTAATTCATTGCTGTTCAGGGAGTATTCCAAGCCTAGGTAGGGATTACTACCGAGGGGATCGTCTGCACGTGAATTGTTTTTTTTTTTTTTGACAACATGACGTACCTTTCAAGCCGGTTAGGCCCCTCAATTAAGGAGAGTCATGCCAGTTTCCCTCAATTCAAATACCGCAGCTGTACTAGTCAGCCAAAGGTCCGGATATGCAGGGCTGCCGAATACTGCATTTGTATCTAAGCAGAAAATAAATAATTTGATGAGTCTAAGCAACTGGGATTACGAGCAACTTGCTCGTAATCCCACTGCAACGATCCCAGCTCAGCAAGACAACCATTATATATACGGTACCAATGGCCCGGTCCTAGGCTAGGACTCGTAGCATATGTTCTATCAGGTTCTACCCGTACCGTATAGTCTTAGTAATAGGCGACAAGGGTCGAACAAAGTATGTTACAAGGTACCCATACAAATCCTAAGATTTAAAGTTGACTCGACACAGATTTATTAAGTGTCAATCCATTTTTTTTTCGATGCCCAACATGAATGCAGTACTCCAGTTTTTTTTTTTTAAGTATCATCGTTATCACTATCATCTTCACTCTTACTACATTCGCTTCCAATGTCGTCCTCGGAGTTGATCTCTTCTTCTGTAATTTTGTAGCGTACAAGCTCAGCAACAACACTGTCGATATCATGAAC